TCTCCCCCCTCCCTTCTCTTATCCCCTTCCCCTTCTATTTTCCTGTAGAGCAGGATAGACTTCTGTACCCCATTTCCTGTATTTCTTATTTCCCAGTTGCATGTGAAAACATTTTTTTAAAACATGTGTTTTTAAAACTTTGAGTTCCAAATTTTCTCCCTTCCTCCCTCCCCACCTACCCTCATTGAAAAGGCAAGCAACTCAATATAGGTTGTACATGTGCAGTTATGCAAAACACTTCCTTAGTAGACATGTTGTGAAAAACTAACTGTATTTCCCTTAATCCTATCCTGCCCTCCCATTTATTCTATTCTTTCTTTTGACCCTGTCCCTCCTCAGAAGTATTTGCTTCTGATTACCCTCTTTCCCAATCTGCCCTCCTCTCTATCATCCCCCTGCTCTCTTGTCCCCTTCTCCCCTATTTTCCTGTAGGGTAAGACAGATTTCCATACCCAATTGAATGTGTATGTTATTCTCTCCTTAAGCCAAATCCTATGAGAATAAGATTCCCTCATTCCCTCTCACCTTCCCCTGTTTCCCCTCCACTGTGAGAGACTTTTCTTTTCTGTTTTTTTTGTGAGATAATTTACCCCATTCTACCTCTCCTTTTCTTCTCCAAGTATCATCCTCTCTCATCCCTTAATTTTATTCTCCAGATATGACCCCTTAATCTTCAACTCACCCTGTGCCCTCTATCTATCTATATACACATACGTATAATTTTTTTTCCTTCAACTACCCTAATACTGACAAAGTTTTCATGAGTTACAAATATCATTTTTCCATGCAGGAATGTAAACAGTTCAATCTTAATAAGTCTCTTACGATTTCTCTTTCCTGTTTACCTCTTCATGTTCCACTGGAGTCCTGTATTTGAAAGTCAAATTTTCTGTTTAGCTCTGGTCTTTTCATAGGAATGCTTGAAAGTCCTCTATTTCACTGAATGACCATTTTTTCCCCTGAAGGATTATACTCAGTTTTGCTGGGTAGGTGATTCTTGGTTGTAATCCTATCTCCTTTGCCCTCCGGAATATTATATTCCATGCCCTGCGGTCCCTTTAATGTAGAAGCTGCGAAATCTTGTGTTATCCTGATTGTGTTTCCACAGTACTTGAATTGTTTCCTTCTGGCAGCTTGTAATATTTTCTCCTTGACCTGGGAACTCTGGAATTTGGCTACAATATTCCTAGGAGTTTTCCTTTGGGGATCTCTTTCAGGAGGAGATCAGTGGATTCTTTCAATTTCTATTTTGCCCTCTGGTTCTACTATATCAGGGCAGTTTTCCTTGATAATTTCTTGAAAGATGATGTCTAGGCTCTTTTTTTGATCATGGCTTTCAGATAGTCCAATAATTTTTAAATTCTCTCTCCTGGATCTATTTTCCAGGTCAGTTGTTTTTCCAATGAGATATTTCACATTGTTTTCTAATTTTTCATTCTTTTGGATTTGTTTTACAGTGTCTTGATTTCTCATAAAGTCACTAGCTTCCAATTGCTCTATCCTAATTTTTAAGGAAGTATTTTCTTCAGTAATCTTTTGGACTTACTTTTCCATTTGGCCACTTTTTCTTTTTAGGGCATTTTTCTCCTCGTTGGCTTTTTGGTCCTCTTTTGCCATTTGGGTTAGGCTATTTTCTAACGTGTTATTTTCTTCAGTATTTTTCTGGGTCTCCTTTAGCAAGCTGTTGACTTGTTTTTCATGATTTTCTTGCATCACTCTCATTTCTCTTCCCAGTTTTTCCTCTACTTCCCTTACTTGCTTCTCAAAATCCCTTTTGAGCTCTTCCAAGGCCTGGAACTGATTCATATTTTTCTTGGAGGCTTTGGATGTAGGAGCTCTGACTTTGTTGTCTTCTTCTGGTTGTATATTTTGATCTTCTTTTTCACCAAAGTAAGATAACATAGTCTGACTCTTTCTGCGCTGCTTGCTCATGATCCCAGCCAATTACTTGAGTTTTAAACTCTTTGTTAATGTAAGAGTCTGCTTCCAATGTGGAGAGTATACTGTCCCAAGCTTCAGGGGTTTGTATAGCTGTTTTCAGAGATACTTGTAGGGACCTGTAAATTTTCAGTTCTACCAAGGTGGTACGATAAGGGGCAAGGTGTTTACTCCTTTCCTGGCCTGTGACCGCAAGTACTCCTTTCTGTACTGTAACTGTGAGGAGGGGTTTCTCTGTATGGCCACTACAAGCTCCACCAAGCCAGCGCTCCTCCTCACTGCAGCACCGCCGCCCAGAACTATGACCCAGATCCGCACACTGGCAAAGCAAGAGATTCCTGCCTTAGCACTGGCAAAGAGATCCCTGCAGTCCCTCTCTGATCAGCCACTGCATTCCCCCTCAGTCTGTGGGCCGGAAGCTCGGGAAGCAGCTGCTCCCCCCCAAGGCCACGCTCTTGGGGAATGGAGCTGAAACCCCGCCTTCCTCTCTGAACACTGACAGAAACAGACTTTTCCCACTGACCTTCTAAGTTGTCTTTGGCATTTGTGGATTGAGGAGTCTGGAAACCTCCACAGCTGCCTGAGATTCAGTCTTCTGAGGCCTACTCCAGGTTCGCGGTGGCCTGTGCGCCCACGCCGCGCTGCGCTCCCAGCCCGGCACAATACAACTTTCTGATCAATCATCCACGTTGTCTTGGGCTGGAAATTTGTTTCACTCTGTCTTTTTGTGGGTTCTGCTGCTTCAGAATTTGTTTAGAGCCATTTTTTATGAGTATTTGGAGGGGTCTGGGGGAGAGCTCAAGCAAGTCACTACTTTCACTCCGCCATCTTGGCTCTGCCCCCCAATCATAAATGCTGTCTTGATTGACTAAGTCCATGAATCCTGAAAGACCACAGAGCATCGTGCATGCCTAATGACATAACCCAGTACATGATCTGGAAGGCCATTTTTTATTACTCATTTTGCTATAGTGGAATCATATGCCCTTTGGAGGTACAGTTTGATGAAGGATCACTATCTCAGCCAGCTGGTCAAATAGATCTTGCTGGGCTGCATGGTAATTAGATATATCAGTTACAAGACTGATTGAGCAGGAGGGTGCCATAAATATAGAGTACCCATCTTTTAGCAGAAAATTTGACAAAATGCAGTCAGCACAGTTCCTGACATACAGTAAGTATTTAATTAAATGCTTGTTGACTGACTAGCTGATTCATGAAACTTTTTTTTAATAAGATGGAAAAATATAGGCTATTTACCACTGCTTGAACAACCTCATCTTAGGAAGGTATAGTGATGAATGGGTCAATATCAACGTGAAAGGAGGTCCCTGGTGGTAGAATTTTGGACTCTGCCATCAACACTGTTGGGTTTAATATTTTTTATCAGTGATATATATGAAAGCATACCTGACATATTTATGAAGTGTGTGGATTGTATGCAACTTAATAAGACCACTAATATATTCAATGTCAGAATTGAAATCCAAAAACCAAAATCTTAATATGTGGAAATTATGGGCTAAATATAGCAAGATAAGACTTCATAAGAATAAGTATGAATCCATACAAAAACAAATTCCTCACACAAGCATAGGGTGGAGAAAGCCTAACTACACAGTAGGTCATGATAAAAAAAAAAACATTAGAGTGTAAATAGACTATAGCCAATACTGTACCATGGCTGCCTAAAAAGCTAATGTAACCATAGGCATATCATCCATAACAGGGGAGGGGATAGTGCAGTAGGCTCTACAATGGCTGTAATTGTGTTCAGTTTAGGGAATCACACTTTTACAAGGACATAGATAAACTATAGCAGGACTGGAAGAGAAAAACCAGCATAGGAAGGGGACATGTCATATGAGAAATGAACAAAGGAAAATAGGATGATAGTGATAAGAATAACAGATGAGATTTCAATAGCCATTTAAATCTTCAAAGCAGTTTACCATCATTACTTCTTTTGATCCCCTCAAATACTTAGCTAATATGTTCTGAAGAAAATCTGAGTGGAGGGAGGATGTGGAACTAGGAGAGAATTGTAGAGCACATCCTGCTCTAGTTGTATAAGAGAGCTGGGTGCCTAAAAACATTGGGAAGGGTGTAGACAGCAGGGAGGAGCTTGTGGACCAAAGACAAAGAGAACTCCGGATTTAACCTAGTCCAACCCTCCCACCCCTAACTTAACCCAAGGAGGATTCTGTGGGATCATAAATAATCCATCGAAGGCTGGAAAGAGAACCTTAGAAGTCATTCAGGCTAACTCCTTCATTTTACAGATGGGGAAATTGAGTCCCAGGGAGATGAAGTGACGAGCCCATATAGTAAATGGAAGACCTGGTGAACACAGGACCTTTTATTCCAAATCCAGTACACGTTCTACTGTAGCATAGTCCTCTGATATTTCACCCTTGCTCAGTTTGCATCTGCCTCTTACGTTTTGCAAGTGTAGAAGTTACAGGGAACGGAAGACTGAAGTAATGGCCAATTGGCTGCCATGACTAAAGCGTATATACACACACACACACACACACACATACATACATACATATAAAGAGTATAAATATACTCTATATATTTTTCTAAATTTATATATGCATTTATACATATATATATAGTATAGAGTGTATATATATAAAGTATATAGAAACTCGTGTAGGTATATGATAACTGCATTCTTAAATAATGTTTATTGTTGTCTCTTAAAAGATAAGTCTTTTTAAGTGTTGCCTTCAGTTGAATCCTCCCTTGTGACAAAGAGAAACAATTAAAATAGATGATAAAATGATCCATTATTATATGCAACACAGTCTCCCCCTAACCAAAATAGTGTTCATTATCTTTTCCCCAGTAACCAAGATTGTTAACTACAATTAATTTAAGTTCTGCTACTTTCTGTGTTGCTTTAATTGACAATAACATAGTCATTGTTCATGTAGCCCCTTATAAGAAATGGGATTAAAGTGTAGTTTTCCCAACCAGGAGGAAGAACTAAAAGGTAATGGGAAGCAAAAGCCAGGAAGGAGAAAGGAATCCTGGGAACTTTTGCTCTCTCTCACCTTCTGTTGCTGCTGCAACTGCTCTGGTAGTCCGTTACTCAGGTACCCAGGAAGAGGGCAAGATTCCAGTTGCCTTTTGAGATCTCATAATGCCCTATACCCAAAGGGAAAAAAAAGACATAAACAGGAGCTGGCTGCATTCCAGACACCAGCTGAGACTTAGGGTTTGCTGACTTGGAAAGGCATGGCATCCCCCCACAGGCCCAAGCTCAGAGTTACACCTGAAAGCTGACAACAAACCCAAAGGATGGGGACTGCTCCTTTAGCATAGCCATGGTTTCAGCACAGGATCCAATTAAAAGAGACATCGGAACTGACAGGAACCAGTCAAAGGATGTTTGTGCCTCCTCTGAGGCATGGGGAAAGGGGGAGAGGAAAAGCAAGGGTATGCTGGAGCCAGCTTGAACTGGCTTGGGGAAGCCAATTGTTAAACTTTCGAGGTGAGCATTTACCCTCAGAAATCACTAAGCTATAAATTAGAGCTTAACTTACTGGTTTGTTGATTGTCTGAACTTAAGAAAGTGTTGGAGAAAATGTTGATAATGGAGATTAAACTTGGAAGTATATCATGTCTACTATTTTTTTCAGAGAGTCAATTATTAAACATTAAGCCTCTGGAAGGGCTCCTCCATCACAGCATACAAATGCTATATGTATATATTTTTTCCTTTGTTCTGCTTTCTTCTCTGCATTCTCTACATCCTTTAATATGTCTTCCCATGTTTCACTGAATTTTTCATTTTGTTCAAACTGTGATAATATTCTGTTCCATTTGTATATCACAATTTCCTTAAGCATTTCCCCATTGATGAATACTGACTTTGTTTCCAGTATTTTTCCTACTATATAAAGTGATGCAATGAAAATTTATGTGTACCCAGGTCCTTTCTATCACATATTCTGATAGAGAAATTGGTGGGTCCAAGACTATGAACAGTTCAGTGATTCTTCTCAAGTAATTCCAAATTGTTTTCCCTAACAGCTGGACCAATTGACAGCTCCACTAGAGGTGAATTAGTGTCCGACACAGAACATCTCCCACAGTGAGAAGAAGCTATCTCATTATCCTAGAAGAATAGCATGCTGTAGGCCAGTGGGCAATGGCAGAGGAGCTTGTAGACCGATAGGCTTGTGGCAGATGACTTCAAAGGAATTGGATTAGCAAACCTCTGTCTAGCTGAGAATGAGTCCTGTTGTCTGCTTTTCAAGCTCACCAAGCCATATTCTCAAAGCATGAATGTCTCACAAGGATGTCTAGTGGGTTTAATTATTTTGGTTATTATACTCTTCACAAGGTCAGGTAACTGAGAGATACAGAATCACGAAATGTCAGAGTTGAAAGGGACCTTACAGCATAAAGTCTTAGCATTAGAAAAGACCTCACAAAATCCAATTCAACCCCTTATTCTATGGAAGAGGAAACTAAAGCCCAGAGACATTTCTCCCTCTTTAAGATGAGGGATTTGAACCAGATGGTCTCAAAGGTTCCTTCAGTTCTAACATACTAAGACATTAAGCCCCAAGTAATCAGTGCTGTTCCAGTCATTTTAACTTATCTGTGAACTTCTTGTAACATCACCTCCACTCCAGCAATGTGAGTTCCTTCAAGGTAGGGACCCTCTTACTTCTCCATTTATCTCTCCAGCACTACCGAAGTGTCTGGCATTTAACAGGTGCATAACAAATTATTGATGATTGATTAAATCACACAACAAAATGGTCTCAAAGCTAGGATTAGCACCCAGGCCTCTTTGAGTCTAGGACATTTTTCCCTTGTTACAGTTTTTCTTCCAAAGCTTACTGACATTTCACTTTCCCCATTGAAGCTAGACAGATGGGCTCATTCACAAGTCATGGGTTGTAAAATAGACAGGAACTTGATTTGGAACCTCAAGGGCCTCCATTAGGGATTGAGAGAGCCATGTTTGAAAGTAAGTCATCTATCAAGAGCAAGAATGGAGAAAGGTGGGGGAAGGTAAGGAGATCATCCATAGTACAGACCCAAATTCGCAAGAACCTAGCCCACCAAATAAGAGGCCAACACAATAAGATGCCCCTTGCTTGACCTTTGTGTAAAATAAGCAAAGAGAAAAAGATCTATCAGTAAGTTCCTTGAAAATTAGTTAAGAGAAAGAAGACTAGTGGATAATTAAGAAAAACATCACTCTTGGAAGCCTTGTTACTATGAGCTTGTATTCATTACAAGCCAATGAGGTATACCCAGTTATCTTTAGTAAAGGAAAATTACTTTGCTTCCTAATTAAATTAAATTTTCCTTTTTCTTTCTGGTTATACTGCTTGTGGAATGGAAGAATTATTTTTCCCCTGACCTTGAATGCCTGGAAAATTTAAGGAAGATTTTCTTCCCCAATAAAGAACACCATAGGCAGGCTTCTCAAGAAATGTCTTTTCTTTTTAAGTTAGAGAGGAATACTTGGTGTGGGAGGCATTATAATTTATACTGATTTTGAATTAGTACAAGGGTACAATTTGCAATTGTATTTGTATCATCTCAGTGGTCCTTTTGGAACTGTTGTTTGATTAGACTGTAACAGGAGGGAGAGGCCCCATTCCAGCAAAACCAATCCACACTTGATGTGTATAGAGGAGTTCTGTGCTGGTGGGTGTCTTTCTCTGAGGGAAGTGGGGAATAGAACTTTCACAGATTGCAATAGCTCTCTCTTTCAAAGAGGAAAGACTCAGGGGCTGCAGAAGCAGCAGATATCATGATGGTGAAGCTACTTACTGTGTGACCATATTGTCTGATCGTTGGAGTTTCAGGAGGGTGTTATGGTATAATGGAAACAGCACTGTATTGACCAAAAGAATAATATTCACAGGAAGTGTTAAGATCACTAAAAAAGAAGCCAAACTCTGAGTGACTGAAAATGTAAAAAAGGTCCCAGAGAGGTGGAAGACTTCTCAGGCAAAATGTTGTCTACATTATTAATCACTGGATGAATGTGAGCTATCATTTCCTGAAGGCTGGGCTTGTGGTTTTCTCGACAGGAAAATGTGGATCTTGGAGATTTGATGTTTTCCCTTTGCTATCTTCCAACTGCTGGAAGGCTGACCATCACCATAATCAAGGCCAGGAATTTAAAAGCAATGGATATAACTGGAGCATCAGGTAGGGAATTCACCAGCGTGACCTTTTTACCTCTACCCCTTGAGACCCCTTTTCACTGGTCTACCCTCAAGTGACTGGGAAGATAGTCACTATTTATGCTCATTTGTACTGACTGATTCAATATAGGAGTCCGGTTGTTTCTTTGATACATGTCACTGATTGGTAAATGCAAGGCCAGCCCTTGTAAACTAGGCAAAGCTAGGATTTCTCCCAAAAACCAGAGGTGGAGGGCTGTGAGTGTAGAATACTGCATGTAATACCAGACATTTTCAATATATTGGTTAGTTTTGCTGAGCTTTTCCCCTCTTTTTTGATTCTTTCTTATAAGGGATGGCTCTCTGGGAGGTAGATGATGATACATTAGAAAATGCAAATGATATAAAAACAAAATATATAATTTTTTTTAAAGAACCAAGACCACAAGTTAAAGTTCCAAGACAGCAAGAAAATGTTGCACTTCACTGGTCTCAAACTATTATTTCATGCACTCTGGGATCTCATTTCTTTCCCCAGCTCTTAAAACCTACAGGAACTACTTTGATGGTAGTCCCACCTGTGCATGGACTACACTGGCTAGCTAAACAGGCAATCGGATCCCCAAAAAGTACAATAAGAAAAGATCTTCTACAACTTAGAGGATACTCATAAACTAGAAGACTGCGAGGATAGGTGAACAGGAAAAAGGAATAATATTCTTTTTTGTGAGATTGTAAGGCCCTATTTATTGCCTTCTTAAGTCTGTCCTAGCTTCCTGGTGGGAAGGTGGGACCTCTGGGGAGGGGAGTTAGAAGAGAAAGACCTAGAAGTAAAGACACAAAAAGAATAGCAACTCCTTCTTAAAGAGAGAGCCAGGAACATCACAGAATAGAACAGGAAGATTAGCCCTTTACCCTGAAGCAGCAGCTTAGCAACAAGCACAGCTTCTTTCTCAGAAGAGGCTGCCTTATTCTCCCTTGCCAGGCTGAATTCTCCGTCCCCAATGATTAATGAAGAGATAAGTCCTGGGGGAAACCCTACCTATATTGTATTTCTTCTGGAAAGGCATCTCCCTTTTCCAAAGTGATCGGAGAAGAGATTTTACTTTTAGACCCAGATCTGCCACTGACAGCTAATGAGCTATGTGTCATTGAGCAATCATTCAGTCGGCATTCCTAAGGGCCTACCATGTATTGAACACTGTGCTAGGTGCTGAGAATACAAAGACTAGTGTTCTTCCCATTCTCAAGGAGCTTACACTCTACCAAGAGAGGCAATGTGTACATATTTAAGTATATCCAGAATAAAGGCAAGGTAGTTGGGAGGAGAGCACTACCACTTTGGGGATGGGTGAAGGTCAAGCAAGAGACTTCACCTCTCTGTGCCTCAATTTCCCTCTCTATAAAAGGAAGACTTTGTATTAGAGTGGGAATTCTTAATGTAGGGTCCATGAACTTACGGGGTTCTTTTTTTTAAAACACTGTGATAACTATATTTCAATATAATTGATTTCCTTTGTAATCCTATGTATTTCATTTTATGCATTTAAAAGCATGATTCCATGAAGGGGTCCATTGACTTCCTCAGACTGCCAAAGAGGTCTAAGACACAAAAAAAAGTTGAGTCCTGGATTAGATGAGCCCTAATGTCTCTTCTAGTCCTAATATTATATAGTCTATGTTCCTTCCCACTAACCTTAACTAGATCCAGCAAGACTATTCTTCTGAATCCTGTGGGCATGAATTGCTTTGGGCAGTACAGGACCCCGTGACGCCAATTTAAATACAGAGACACCCCTTTGGAAATAGACAGCCCTGATAGGTCCAAAAAAAAAGTCTTCATACCATTTACAGTGACATCATTCCTTGAGGAAGCCACATCAAAAATCTTGCCCAAATGAATTCCTTAGTTGTGTATGATATCCACAGATAAACACACTCACATGGATGTATCACAATACACCCATGTGACAGATACTTTTTGTGCTT